CCCCCCCCCCAAATCCCCCCCCCCCCCCCCCCCCCTAAAAACTAAATGCTCCCTTAACTGAGTATGCAATTTTATCAATTGTAGATAAAGTACAAAAAGCAATTGACAATCGTAATTATTCATGTGGAATATTTGTCGATTTCAATAGGGCTTTTGATACTGTTAATCATGAAATTTTAATTCAGAAGTTATCTTGCTATGGGGTAAGGGGCGTTGCTTGCAAGTGGTTTATCTCATACATAAGTAATAGAAAGCAATTTGTAACTATAAATAATGAAACATAAAACAACTGCCCAATCAGCTGTGGTATTCCACAGCGTTTAGTTTTAGCACCTTTACGTTTTCTACTATACAGTCGAACCCCTATTAAGCGGACACCTTCGGGACCTCGCCTAAGTGCCCGCCTAAAAGAGGTGTCCGCTTAAAAGGGGCATGTAGAAAAACACAGCAGGAGGCAAAGGTGTGTAATTAGGTGTGTAATTTGAGTATCATCATGGCTGGCGGCTCACAGTCCTCCGTCCTCATTCGTCACTTCCTCAATAATCTTGGCTCTGATGTCTTCGCGCCAAGTTGGTGTGTCACTGTCAATGTGCCATGTAAATTGATTTCAATTGTTATTTACTGTCGAATATTGAATACATTTTATCAGACAATCTGTCATCTGTCCGCTTAAGAGAGGTTGATTTGCCCATTGGGACCTCCAGAAAGGTGTCCGCGTCCGTTAAAGAGGGGTGTCCGCTTAATAGGGGTTATGATAATAGTTTTTTATTAAAGAAACCAAATGGGACCTGAGATATGTGTCCGCTTAAAAGAGGTGTCCGCTTAAGAGAGGTGTCCGCTTATAGGGGTTCGACTGTAATTAACACACTGGTTTCTTAATAAACGTGAAAAACATGCATTCATATGGTAATATTAGTTGTTTCTTAGTTTCCTACAGTACATGGCATTTCATTAGGTGTATTTGGTATAAATCATTTGTAACAATCTTACTTGCAAACATTTTACACGAGATTTATTACATTTTAAAATTAACAAGCAAGTAGATTCGCCATTTGCGCACTCGTAACTCGAGAGTGGCGTCATGTTAGTCGCAGCCGGTACTGTTAACAGGATGTTCCGGTATTTAAAAACCGGAAAACCGATACCAGCAAATCTATACAACTGTAAATCTGACGCTCTAAAGTCCAAATCTAAAGCTCTTGGCACGCCAAATTTTTTTTCGCCCGACGGTGAACCAAAAACTGCCTGACTCTGCCCTATTTGGCAAAAATTGTGGGGGGGGGGG